TCAGTCATCCTTAGAGACTGAGGGAGCCGTGCAAGCCTGCCCCGCCCCCAGCAAAGCCTGAGGAGAATGGAGAAGGAAACAAGGGCTGTTGGTTCCATTTTCCAGATGGGAAAACTGAGGCTTTACACCCAGCTGTGGAGCAGTTTTGATGACTTTGAAGTAGGCACCACCTTGAGTGTTTTCTGGGCACCTGGGATAGTAGCCCCAGTGCGTCAGAGAAGTCGGTGAGGTCAGGTGTGAGCTCTGTATTGGTTGGTTTGCATACGAAAGGTGTGTTCACAGCCCCTCGAGGGAGTTAGGCCTTTCCTCTACACCCAGAAACCTCTGTGCTGGTCCTGGGGCAGGTGGGCACTGTCTCCAGAGTCAGCAAGTCCCCAGACATCAAAGCGTTAGGAGCACAGTTAATCTATGGAATCTGCAGCGGAGACAGGTGCTCAAGGGCATCCCCACGTCCACGCAGAGCTCAGCACGGGCTTTATGCGCAGGGTGGCAGGAGAGAGGTTTACTAATAACAGCAGAAGGAGGATCCAGACGGTGGAGCCACTTCCTGAGTCATTCATCCCTGACGCAGCGCTGCCACCAGCCAGCCGGGGGACTGGAGGCAAGCGTCTGCCTCCCAGGCGCCCACTCTCGGCTCTCGCCCTTTAGCAGCAGGAAAAGTGGGGAGGGGGAGTGAACATTTCTTGGGTACTTCCTGTTCTCCCTCCTGGCACCGTGCAGCTGTTTTCCCTGAAATTGTCATCAAGATCTTACCTCCACCCTGTTGCCCAGGTGCCGCATTTGTAATGCTGATTTTATAGGCGAGGAAACAGGCTCAGAAAAGGGTGGGGCCCACGGTGGCCAACGAGGGGCAGAGAAGGGATGTGAACCCAGGTCTGAAAGCCTCTCCCCCCGACCGTCACTGAACACGCGGCACAAGGCCGTCCGGGACGTTTGTACTGCCTCGCTCTTTGCGTGAGGGATGTCGGAGACTCCGGAGAGACGGAAACTAAGTGCAGGCGGCGGAGGGAAGGCAGAGATGCTTGTGGAGCAGCGCAGGGCTTGCCGGGTGAAGGGCGGTGCTGGTCGGTTTCACCTTCCTCCTGTTTGTGGACCATCGCTTCATAGTATCGATCTGCCTCTGCCAGTGAGTGGGAAATGCTGAGCGGAACCTTGATACCGAATTTTAGTGTGGAGTGGGCCTGCCACTGTCACCTAGTTCAAATGAATTGTTTCCAGGAGGAGAGAGCAGAGGCCCGGAGAGGGTGTGTGATTTACCCAAAGTCACAGAGCTGGTTTGGAGGCATATCCGAGCTGTGTCCGCAGTCTCCCAACTCCCCGAGCCCCCTGGGACAGGTCTCCTCCTAACGATCCCTTGCAGCGTCTGAACCTGCAGCTTTTCTGGTAGCAGCCTGAGATGATGGCTTCAGATGACCCGGGGGATTCCAAAGGGCTCGGTGCCACTGGCTCTGGTTGCAAATGATGATCTCTGTGATAGGACGCTAGACCTCACTTGCTGCTGTGCGACTGGAAAACGACGTGAGTCAGAGCCAAGGTCATGGACTCTCTTTGTGGCCTCAGGCTGACCTCTTGTTCCTAGTTGCAGACAACAGAATCCATTTGAACTAATTCAGGCAGACTGGGATTTGTCAAGGGTACAGCCTGCAGAAAGACGCCAGGCAGAGCTTCCAAAAATGCCCCGCCAAGTGACGCTGTGAAATGAGGCCACCATGAAAGGCGCTGCCTCCGATGTAATCGTGAAGGTGCTGCCACCACGACAGTTTCCAAGAGCCATGCCACCTCTGCCACGTTCTGCACCAGCAACACAATGCTCGGAGTCTCGTCATTCTTCTCCAGTAACGGTCTCACGCAAGTGCTTCTGATTGGTTGAACCTAAACTTCATCTGGAGCCTGGCGAACAGGAGTCTAGGAAATGTAGCTCTTAGCTTTCCTGCCTCTGCCGCCCCGAAGGTGCAGATGTAACGAAGACAAAATTCCCAAGCGTTTTGGAGGGGGAAGTGGGTATATAAACAGACTATTTTAATACAATGTTATTTGCTCTAATTAAAAGACAGTGAGCAGAGGGACCCTGGAGGCGAGGGGCAAGACGACTTCCCATAAGTGGGAGCATTTGACCCGGGTGCTGAAGGGTCAGTATGAGTTTGCTGGGGAGGAACAACAGAGGAAGGAGTTCGAAAACCACAAGGGAAACAGAGAAAACGCCGAATTCTTCTGAACTCTGCTTCAGTTCTTTTGTGACACGAGAACAAGGAGCCGACCTATTTTGTGAATAGGAGCCAGTTTGTTATAAAAAATGTTTTAATATTTTAAAGTAGTATTTTAAATTACTTTAAAGTTACTTTAACATAAACTATTAAGTTATAATTATGAAAGAACACATCTATAATATATTTTTTAAAGTATTAACGGTGAAATTATATTTAAATTATTTAAAACAAATATTTTGTTCTGCTATTTAAAAATATTTTTAATTATTTAAATCCACAGTTATGCTTTAAAATGAACTATTAAATTTTATTAAATTAAAAAATAAATATTTATAAACAGAATTTTTAAAGTATTCAATATGAAGTTAAGTTGCCTAGCATACACGTATCTTTAAAAGGAACCAGTTTAGCGGGGAAGCGGTCTGGTGTCCCTGAGGCGGCCATGCCTAAGCTGGCACAGGTCAGGCGTCCGTGTGAGGGCACGCGCAGTGGCTGCCGGCCCACGGTGGGGAGGTGTCTGGGAATCGCCGGAGGAATGACTTCATTTTAAATCGTTGCTGGTGGAGTGCAGGGGGCAGGAGCAGCCCCGGGGCGCCGCTCCCACGTCTGCTTCCCCAGAGCTACCCACTGCGAGGTCACTGACCCCACACTTCGGGTGGCTTCACCCTGCGGTGGCTTCACCCTGCGGCGGCTCTGGGATCCTGTGGTGGTGGGGCTGTCACGGGGTCCGGTCTCCCAGCTCACTCTGCCCTGGGAGGCCCTACCTTGGCTGGGCCCAGCGGGGAACTGCTGTGTTTTATCTTGGAGGGAACCTGCACCCTCGACTCTTCCCTGCCCCCCGACCCCCAGCTGGGTGGTGTTCTTCCTTCCTGGGTGTGAGGAGGGGAGGCCTGAGAGATTTCCTCGCCTGGTGGCCGGGGGAGGCCAGAGGGCCCTTCCCAGGGGACACCAGCTGTCCTTGTGGATGCGCAGACGAGCAGTCTTGAGTCAGCATGCAGGCCCATGTTGCAGCGCTGCCGCCTGCCATGTGCCCGCCTCTGAGCAAGTGAGTGAACTTGTGATGCTTATGACACTCCCTTTCCTTGTAGGCTAGTTATAAAGGTCAAGTGTGGATGCCTCCTTGTCGAATGCTGGGCCCAGCCAGCACTTGGCTTGTGGTGAGGGCTCGGCAAGCCCTGGTGGAAAGTGGATTTGTTCCTTTTCATGAAGCTGCTACAAGGGCCCTGAGGTGGCCCAGACGTGCCTGTGTTGCGCGTGGGTCACCGGCCAGCAGTGACCACGGAACGCTGTGGATGGCTCGACGATAAACACGCGAGAAAAAACACGCATGCACAGAGACAAACTAGTTTCTGTGGGGAAGTAGGGACGAAATGGCCACCCCCCTAGTGGGGAGCGCGCTGGTTTACCGTCCATACCTGCTTTTATTGGGCTCATTCTGCATAATAATTCAGGTAAAGTACAGTACTCATTAGGGGGAAGTAAGGAACCATAGAAAACAAAGAACTATTGAGTTGGGGGTCAAAGAGCTGTAAGACTGAGGAACAAAATAACTTCCTCCTAAGACCCTTCTCATTCAACTGAGAGCATTCTAAACAAAGAAGGTTTCACAGTAATTTACATGTTCTTTCTTAGGCCTGATCACCCCGGGGAATCCGCACTTCTCAGTACAGAGCTGTACCACCCTGTCATTGTTTCAGGCTTAGGTGGAGCAAGGGAACTAAGGCAACTGGGAGACAAGGAGGTTTTTTCCCAGACGCTGAGAACTCAGACTTTGTCAAAGCCGAGGAGCGAGGGTCCATCACCCCCTTTTGCTGCAGCGCCCCAAGTCCTTCTTTTGGGGGGCCTCCCAAAGTGATCGTGCCTGGCTTAGGTCATTCCCCCCGTGGGGAATCTTACCCGTCTTTGGCTAACCGACCAAGCTTTTGGGGGTTCAGCCATGAATAAAGCAGCAGAAGCAGCATTCCTGCCAGGAAGATAAGCTTTTGTCTCCTTGCTGGCTTACGGTTCCAAGGGCGTTCCCTTAGCCTTAGCCTAGGTGGGGGTTTCAGCTTCTGATACCAGTCAGGGCGGTTCCCAACATGCCTGGAGCTAGCTGGTGTTGGCAGGGGACTGGGCTCCTCTGCAGTGGAATCTGGACCAAACCTGGCTGTGCCTTACGATGACTGTGGGACCGGAGCTCCAGCTGTTTAGCCTCAGTTTTCCCAGCTGTCAAATGGGGAGAGAGAAATGTCAGTCTCAGCTAGTTACAGCGTGAGCACGAGGATCAAGTGAGCTGACGGAAATGGAAATGCTGGTACAGCAGGAAGAGCTGTAGGGCCCAGCGATGCTCGTGGCTGTCAGTGAGTAGCTTTCCCAGGAGGAGGACAAAGGAGCAGGGGCAGGTGGGACTGGCTGAAGGTGGTAGCCTTGTGCTGCCTCCTGCAGTGACTGACCACAGGAAGAGCCAGAGCCAGAATGGGCACAGAGTGTCCTCCTCCTCTCCTTTCCCTTTGCAACTCGGAACCAAAGATGCTTCTGAATGTCATGATTCTCTGAAATGGGGTCATGCTCCTACAAAGGCTTGCACTCCCGGGGCGTGGGGGTGCTGTGAGTCACCACCCACCCAGTGATGGAGCTGGAGGCCCCTGCAGTCCTGGGGCCTCCCACCGGGTCATCTGGTGGGTGGGGCTGGTGTGCTCTATTTATTTGACCAGAACAGACTCCCCCACAACAAGGGTGCCCAAAAGTAAGGCTCCTGAAAGTCAGGCCGGCTTCTCTGCATACTAACCCATGTCCGTCCCTGTTGGTTCCCAGGTACTTTGAATTTTACGAGGGCCCTTTAGAATATAACTCCACGAGATGCCTGGAGCTGAGGAACGAAATCTTGGAGGTGAAGGTGCTGTCCATGTAAGTGTGGCCGGGGTGGGTGCTGGGTGCATGGTGCAGGGTGGGTGGGGCTGGGGTGGGGGGTGGGTGCATGGTGTGTGGGTGGGTGGAGCAGGGTGGGTTTTGGGCAGAAGGAGATAGGAACCGCAGTGGATCCAGATAGAGCAAGAATTAGGCCTACTTCCCAGCGCCTAGCTTGTGGAGAGCCCTGGAGGACTGCATGGGGATGACTGAGTTTTATGAAAAAAATCCAAGTGTGCAAGGTCACCTCTGGTGACTTTGGCCTTTCAGCCCCCGGCTCAGTCACCAGTCTCCGAGATTCTCATCACCGGCTCCTTGTGGACAGAAATAGAAGAGGGCACGGGAGTGTCTTGCCTGAAATTAGTCCTTCCGCCTTCTTGCTATTGTGTTTAAAACATTTTTATATTCATCACATTTTTTTTACCTAAACGATAGAGCATTCAGGAGGCACAGAAAGGTGTGCAGTGAAGAGCCCCCTGCCCACAGCCCCCAGCCCTCCTCAGAGGCAGCCCCTGCCTGTCCTTGGGCATCCTCCCAGAAGGTCTGCAAAACCAGCACCCATGTGTAGACAGTTTTCACTCTTTCTTTCTTTCTAAAACATAAATGGCAAAAGAGCTATGCTCTCCCCTCCCCACTCAACAGAATATCACCAATGGCCGTTTCCCAACCTGTGCGAGAGGAATTGCATTCTGTGCTGAACGCTGGAGTGTGTGTGTGTGCCTGCCCCAGCCCTCCCTCCCTCCTCGGGCTGCCGTGGATTTGGCAAGCTCATTTACGGGAGCTTGTGTTGTGTTTCTCGTGACAGGCTGTGTATTTATTTGGAAACAGTCATGTCTGGGTATGGACGAAATGTGGTTTACTCTGAGTCAGGCAGTCCTGGGCGCTCATGTGGACTCCTGGGCCCCAGGACCACGGCCAGCGGCCCGCAGGCAGGACCGGGTGCCCCTCCAGCCGTCTGACACGGTTTGCAGGTAGTGTGGGTGGTAGCAAGAACACAGGTGTCGGACTCAGGCACACCTGGGATCCAAAGCCACTGCTGGGCCTTACCAGCTCTGCATCTTTAAACAAACGACTGAACTTCTCTGAGCCTTCTCTTTCCTACAAAAGTGGGGACACTCTCACCTCGCTTTTGAGGGTAGCCATGAAGGGTTAGCTGAAATAACGTAGGTGAAAGTAGTAGCCCAGCGGCCCACATTCACAGTAGCCATGCAGTGGGTGCTCAGTAAGCGTTTGTGTGCCCCTTCCCTCCCCTCCCCATTCCCCTCCCCATTCCCCACTGTCTGGAACCACCATGGGCAGTGGCAACAGCTTTTCCGGGCTGTCGTTCAGACTCCACGAGCTCAGTCGCTGCAGGAAATTTCCAAGAGAAGGCCAAGCATCCGGCCGGGCTTGGCTGCGTTGCTTGTGGTCTCCGTACTAACCACGGGGCTGTGTGCCCTCTCGAGAGAGAACCGTGGGGGAGCTCACCCTCCCCTCAGTCCCACCCGGCCTCACGGAGCCCACCGCCCAGCAGGGGCAGCGGACATTACCAACTGATCACCTTAGGGAGACAAGGGGGAGACAGGGAACTTGACCTGGGCTGGTGGGGAGGGGTCGTCAGGCAGGGCTTGTCTGAGGAAGCGACGCCGGTGCTCTGGTCTGCAGGGTGACGGGAGTTAAGTAGGCCAGGAGGACTCCCGACCGAGGCAGCAGCTTGTGCAAAGGCCCTGTGCCAGGAAGGAGCCACGGGCTCTGCAGGGTCAGGGCAGCTTGAGTGCCAGCGTGAGAGGGGAAACGGAAGCAATGTTGTCAGAGGGGCGGGCAGGCAGGGGCCGGATTTTGTGGGGCGGATTTAGATTCCATCTTTATCCGAGGGCACCGGGAAGGGTTTTAAGCAGGTGGTAGTGGGTACGATGTGATCGGTGCTCCATATGCTCCACGGGAGTTGGGATTTAGTGGCAAAGATGGGTGCCCGGACCTCAGTCAGGAGCCAGAGCCGCAAGCTCCTAAGCAGAGAGCATTCTCCTTCTCTCAAAATTCGGGGATTGCAGGCCATTCAGGGTCGGCCGACGGAAAGCCAGAGCAACTCTCCTTGAGAGTGCACCTGTGAGTCTTCAAAGGGTCACTTGTTAACTTTGTAAACTCTAAAGCACGGACAGTTTCTTCACGGTTCCTTCAAGGTCTGCACGGGTAGACCCGAGAGCCCCCGGAGACTGGGCCTCCTTCTGCGTCACCTCCCACTCCCCTGCCCTAGGGTGTCTTGTACGCTGGTTGGTGTTCGTCCCTGTTCGGGTTTGCTGGGGCTGCATCGCCAGGGACCGCAGGCTGGGTGACTTAAACGACAGAACTTAAGTTTCTCACAGTTCTGTGAGGTCAAGGTCAGCAGGGCCGGCGTCTTCCGTGTCTCTCTCTTTGGCTTTTAGATGGCTGCCTTCCCTCTCTGTCTTCACACGGTTGTCCTTCTGTGCGACTGTCCTGATTTCCTCTTCTGCGGCCATCGGTCACAGCGGACTAGGGCCCACCCTGGTGATGTCCTTGCAACTTAACTGTCTCTTTAAAGACTCCGTCTCCAAGTAGAGTCACATTCTGAGGTGTTGCAGGTTAGGGCTTCAACATACGAATTTAGGGGGAGACACTACTCGGCTCATAATAGTCCCCCTCACACTTTCCGTTTAGGGACCAAACTAGAAATTACCGGGGCCCATTGTTTTCATCCTGAACTCGGTGGGGTACGACGGGGAGCCTGACATTGCCCCATGATCTGTGCCCACGCTGTGTCTCTTGTCATGGGTCATGTCGGTGGCATCGTGTCCTCTGTGTGTTTGGCTCTAGTTCTCATCTCTGCCTTTGGGACACCTGCCCTGGCCCCTGAACTGAGCAACCACCCCGTCTCTCCATGGCAGTTGCCCTATCTCTGGCCCCCAGGCCCCAGGAGTGTCGGCACTGGTGGTACTGGGGGGGGGGGAGGGGAGGGGAGGGGAGGGGAGGGGAGGGGAGGGGAGGGAGGGGAGGGGAGGGGAGGGGGCTGTCCTTGGGGCATCAGCATGTGAGCCGGTGGGACATCGGGGAGCAGCAGGGCCTGTGCCTCCTTTTCTGAGCCCTCCAGCTGAGGGTCAGTGGGCCCTGCAGGGCTGAAATCGGAGCCCAGAGCCCCGTCCCCGATCTGAGTGGCTCTGACATCACTGGGCACCGGCAGCCGAGCCCAGAGCCGGGAGCCCTGCTCTTGCCGGAGACTGAGTCACTGGGGAAAGGTCAGACCCTTGTCAGTGCACAGAGGGGTTTGGACGGATGCACTCCGAGGCCCTCCGGGTGCGCGAGTGTCAGCTGGTGTTGTGTGTGAGGAGTCAGGACCGCGTGTGGTTTGTCTGGGAACGATTCCCATCCAACGTGGCGCCCGTGGACAGTGCAAGTTAGTCGGCCGGAAAGTCCCCACATGGACAAGGCCCCCTTTCCTGACGATGTCAGCTGCACGAGGAACAGTGCTCTGATGATTCGTTATGAAAACGCATGGTCCCTATGCTTGTAAAAATTATTTACGTTTGAATTTAGTCATTCTAGAGCCTGTTTATGTTTAAATTCGCTGCCGCCTGTGCTCACACCCAGGTGGCTTCACCCCGCCTGCTGGCCCCCCTGCCGCCCGATCCCTGTCGTTCTGGGGTGAGGAGGCCTCCCTGAGACAGGAGAGAGGCTGGGGGCCAGGCTGGGGCAGGGTTCCCCGGGAGTCTCTGAGTCCTGGGGTCTGACCCTGCGTGGGCTCGGATGCGTTTGCTAAGTGAGTGGGTGGGTGGAGGAGTGGATGCCACAAGGCCGGAAACAGAGGAGGCCCTGGAAGAAAAGGGGAGAAAAAAGAAGGACACTGAGGCGACTATTATCATCTCGTTATTATTACCATCTCTGGCACATGGCTAGAAAAATTAAGCAGACTACGAAAGCTTGTAATGATAGAAAGCGACAGTCCCCTGCCCTACACCGGTGCCCCAGCCCTGCTGCTTGAGCTCTTGGCTGTTTCTGCAGGTGACGGCGTCCACACCTCGCCGTGCTCCTGCATGCTGCTGTCCCCTGGACCCCATCCGCGCTGTGTCCACTGACGTCCCACGTTGGTGGGCGAGGACTCAGCTCCCTTAGCCCCCACCCAAGCCCTTCCCCACTTTTCCAGGTTGAGGACCATTGCCCTTTTTAGTTCTTCTGTCTATAGATCGCCTAAGTAACCTATTTCCTTTTTTTAAAGACTTTATTTATCTTTAGAGAGGGAAGGGAGGGAGACAGATAGAGAGAGAGAGACATCAATGTGCAGTTGCTGGGGGTCATGGCCTGCAACCCAGGCATGGGCCCTGACTGGGAATCGAACCTGCGACACTGGTTCGCAGCCTGCGCTCAATCCACTGAGCTACGCCAGCCAGGGCTTAAGTAACCTATTTCTTATTCTACTAAATGTTGGCAGTGTCTCATGATCCTGTATTATTTCTAGAATGTGAGATCAGACAATAGTGATTCCTTCTCCTTTCTTGTACATTTCCGCCCCCTTTTCTGAGGCTTCTAGTCATCGTTTCCCCCTTGAACTCTTGTCTCTGCTGTGTCCTATTTCCGCCCCGCCTCCCGCCTCTCCACCAACCAGGTGTCCCCCAGGGTTCCTTCACCCTCTCGTTCCGACCCCGACCGGCTGCCCTCCTGACAGGTTGCCCATCATTTCCCCAGGTCTCCCTTCCTGCCTCCGTAGGGCGGTTTCACCTTGGCTTAGGCCCAATCGCTGCTTCTTTCTTGGTTCACTCCTTCGTTTTGTTTCTACCCTTTTTACGCAAACTCTCCAAAATGCTGGGTAGGAGGTAAACTTTTGATTCCTTCTGTGTCTAAATGACTTAATTTCCCCTTTACCCTTCATAGTTGGTTTGGTGGGGTTGGTGTTTTGGGTGAAAGTCATTTCCCCGCAGCAGGCTGAAGAGCTTCTCTGTCGTCTCCTAGAGCCCAGGCCACCTGGGTGTGATGTGAGTTGTTCCTTTGGAGGGGCCCGTCAGGCAATTCTGAGGTGTCCTGACAGTGTGCCCAGGGTGCACACACACAGGGACCTGTTAAACTGGGGCTCCTGTCCACACTCTTGAACTTTCTCTTAGATCTCTTTATATTTTCTTTATTTTTCTGTTTCCTCTTTTTACTACATCTAAGAATTGGATGCTGGCTTTTCTCCATAGCTTCTCTAGCACTCATATATTTTAATCTCATTTTTTATTATCTCTTTGCCCTTTGCTTCTACTTTCTGAGAAAATTTCTTGACTTCATCATCTAGCTCATTGAAACTTTTTTTTCCCCCAAGAGCTCTTGCTTTGTGCTCAGAGAAGTCTGTTCTTACTTTAAGGACATCATACTTCTTGAGTATCTCCGGGGACACTAGTAGAATATTTTAAAGTTCTATTTTGTTCCTCCCATAGTTCTCTCTGTGGTCTTTTTTTTACCAGTATTTTAATTTAATTTATTTCTCTGTGTGTAGGCACAAATAATAATTAATATGAAGTAGTTCACTAGATATACAGGCTAATATCAAAAAAGCAGTATAAGAAAAATAGTGAAAACAAAAAATAGAAAAATAACACCTATAATTATAACATACCAAAAAATCAAGTATTTTCTTTTTGAAAATTTGTTTTTCAGTTACATTTGACATACAGTATCATATTGGTTTCAGGTGTTAAACATAGTGACTAGACACTTACACACCGTATGAACTTCTAAGCCCAAGAAGCCTCACGCCCTTCTGCTGTGACTGTGACACCCATATGACACCTCACGCAGTGGTTACACTGTTGCTGACTGGGTTCCCTGAGCTGTACTTTACATCCCTGCGACTATTTTAACAACTGACGATTTGTGCTTCTTCATCCCTTTCACCTTTTAACCCATTCTCCCAACCCCCCTCCCACCTGCGTACCACCAGTCTGTTCTCTGGATCTGTGTTTGTTTCTGTTTCCCTTGTTCATTCATTTTGTATTTTAGATTCCACATATGAGTGAAATCATACGGTGTTTGTCTTTCTCTGACTGCCTTATTTCACTCAGCATCATGTCCTCGAGGTCCATCCACGCTGTGGTGGCACACAGTACGCTCCCGTTCTTTGTGGTGGCCGAGTGATAACTATCCCCGTGCGTGCATGTGCCACGTCTTCTTTACGAGTTTGTCTGTGGTCGGCCACCCAGGTGGAGTCTGTGTCTTGGCTGTTGTAAGTAACGCTGCAGTAAGCATTGGGTGGCATGTGTCTTTTGGAATTAATGTTTTGGATTTCTTCAAAATAAATCCTCCGGTCACTTTATCAGATGGTCTGTCTTGGTCTGTGTCCTTCAGGTTGACCAGGTGACCCTTGGTTGCTTACTCGTATTTAAACAACGCAAAGCTGATAGGAGCTCAGAGTCTGCGGGCAGCTTTTGTGGAGGGTAGGAGATGCAGATCGCTGCTGGCCCCTTTGCATGCGGTTAGAACACGCAGAGGTTTTCACTGGGAATGGTAATTTGTTTTAAAGGCAGAAATGGACAGTCTGATTCAATCCTTCTTCTCCCCTCTGCCGGACTCTGGCTACTACAGAGGTGGGGGACTTGATAGTTCTGGATATGGGCTCACTTTAACTGAGCCTCCTTTTCACACCGTGTCCCTCCCCGCCTTCCACCCCCTTTAACATTTGCTACGCAAATCTGCAAATCCGCTCTGTCTCTGGGCTGTGCTGTTCCTCCCTATGTCACCCCTTCTCCTGCCACACACTGGCTGAAATCTCTCTTCCACCGAGACCCCCCACCCAACTCCATTTATTTTATGCATCCGGTCGGCTTATACCTTTATCATTCTTCTAGAGTGTTAGTGGTTGGTACCTCAGGAGAGAGGAGATACGTGCCTGGGATCAGCCCTTCATCTTTAAAGATGATCTGGGCGTCTGTAAAGCAATTTGTAACATATTTTCACAAGTGTTTTCTCATTGGACCTTTCTGACGGCCTTTGAGGTGAGCAGGGCAGAGCTGACTGCCTCCATCTCACAGGTAAAGCAGCTGAGACTCAGACAGGTTAAGTGGCTGATCTGAGGCCATACTGCAAGTTGGAGATGGAGCGAGGATTCCAGGCTGGGGGTTCAGGCCCTGACCTTGGTCCAGGGTGTGACAAGGGCGTTGGAGGCACAGAGAACGGTGCTCGGACATTGGTGACAGTTGAACCTGGGACCCCGGCCTGCAGTGTGGCCCTGGCTGTTTGAGGCACTGGTGGAGCACAGGGGCTGCTCTGGGGCCTGTGGGTTGCAGCAAGTGGGGGAGGGAAGCAGTGTGTGAGGCAGGGTGCAGCTGTATAATGACTCTTCTCCTCTGGTGTCACCTGAGCTGCTGTGGGGGGTTTGGGAAAGCCAGAAGGGGGAACAGTCAGGATGAGGGGAGGGGCTCCTCCCAGCTCTTTAAAGCTGCCCAGCACATGCCATAGGAGGTGTCTGAACTGGGTCTGAGGCCCAAGGCCCCCTCTGCTTCCCAATTCACGTACTCGCTGCTCTCCTATGTGACTTTTCCTGCAGTCACCCCTCCCCCCACCTGTCCCCTATTCCCTCTGTAGGGGAGGGCTTGCCCTGTTTGCCAGCAACTATTTCCCTTGCAGTTAAACACAGGGTAACAGCTCTGTAATGAACTTGTTTGTTTAATCTTACAGTTACATGAGTGTTTGCCTTTTTTTAATTACAGTTTTTTTATTATGTTTTTTTCTATTACCAGGGAAACTCCAGTCTGATGCACCACTCAGTGGAAATAGGGTTCTATGATCTAATGCTTTTTGCTGGTTTCAGTCAAAGGGAGAATCCCACGTGATTTAGACACATTCCCTTTCCAGAGGGGGCCTTAGCGTATCACAAGCTGAGATGTTTAAAAACCAGCGAGCCTTGCAGGTGGTTGTTCAGACAAAAGGAACACAACTCAGGTTTCTCATCTCCTTTTTTGTGTCATCTGGAAATTGTGATCTGCTCTTGGAAAGGGGAAAGAGAAGGGCATGCCCCGTCATGAGTCCTACTGTGTCCTACTGTACAGAAATGATATCATGCCCTGGCCAGTGTGTCTCAGTTGGTTGGAGTGTCCTCCCGTAAACTAAAAGGTTGCCAGTTCGATTCCCAGTCAGGGCATATGCCTGGGTTGCCAGTTTGGTCCCCGGTTGGGGTGCACATGAAAGGCAACTAATCAATGTTTCTCTCTCACACTGATATTTCTCTTCTTCCCTCCCCCCTCACTAAAAATAAATAAATAAATCTTTATTTATTTATTTTTAAAGATTTTATCTATTTACTTTTAGAGAGGGGAAGGGAAGGAGAAAGAGAGGGAGAGAAACATCAATGTGTGGTTGCCTCTTGCATGCCCCCCACTGGGGACCTGGCCTGCAACCCAGGCACTTGCCCTGAATGAGAATTGAACTGGTGACCCTTTGGTTCAAAGGCCAGCACTCAATCCACTGAGCCACACCAGCCAGGGCTAAATAAATCTTTAAAATAAATTATATCATGAAGGAAGAAGTTCTTATACTCCCAGCTCCCTAGAAAAGGAGGCACAGCTTGCCAGTGTTGGTAGGAGGCGAAGAGGTGAGGGGAAGCCGCGGTTACAGCCTTCACTGTGGTTCTCACGGGAAGGAATGGGTGAGGCGGGGTAGACTGGCTAGTTTGAATAATTTCAATGCACTCTGCAGCACATGGGCTGCCCCCAGGGGTCTGATACCTGGTCCTGGGATTATTAGGACAGGGAGCTAGCAGTTGGCTTGATAAAGGAGGTGGTTGCAGGTACGAGCTCTGGACTGGTTGCTCCGCTGTGAAAGGTGTGCCTGCAGGAGAGTTGTTTGCCACCTCTAGGAGTTAGCTAGACCCCCAGTGCCAGAGCGTCAAGAATACAGAAACTAGGAAAATACAGTTAATACCATGGGCCAGCCCAGGATTCGGCAGACAGGGGAGCAGGAAGGGAGCATGTGTGGGAAGGACGACGCTTTGTCCAACCTGGCCCTTTCACAGACTCTTCGTCCTCCGTTCTCCAAGGGTGAAGCAGTCGGAGCTGTTCGACAGGTGGAGGAGCCTGCAGATGTGCAAATGGGCGATGAACATCTCCGAAGCCAACCAGTTCAAGTACATATGACTCGCCTGTCCTGCCCCGGGGGTTCTGTTCCTGCTACCTCTTCAGATCCTCTTTGTCCTGCAAGGCCCAGACCCAGGGGCATCTCTCTAGAGCTGGCCCTGGCAGGGCTTTGGAGCCTGGGCAGTAGGGGTGGGGGTGCGGGATGGTTCTGACTCAGCTACTGGGTGTGTCCTCCTTTCTGGCCCCTGCAGCATCCCTGCAAGGTCAGTGGTGCCGTTGCCAGTAAAGCCTAGGTTAACTGAGACTCACACAGGTGAAGTGATTTGCAGGAGGAGGCCTCCAGCAGGCCTGTGTGTTAAGGCACATTAAACACCTTCCATGGTCTCACCCCATCGCCCCCCTCACCTCTGGGGCAGCTGCTGCAACTCAGCAGCCCCCTCCTTCTCCGAGCTCTTGGGTTCTTGCAGCCAACGCTCGAGTGCTGCTGATTGTTCTCTCTCTGCTCTCTAGCCACACTGCCTGGTCACAAGCTTCCAGAGAGGCACAAGCTGTACCTTAAAGTTCTCCCATCTCTGAGAGCTAAGCAGCTAGCAAAGCCCGTGCACTCGTGTTGATTAGTGGTTAATACAGGTGTCCTTTGCGCCTCTAAAGTCTGTGAGTTTACGGTATTACTTTAGTGTAGGTAGAACTTATTAAATAGAATTGATAGGATCATGGAAATGCGTGTATTAACCGGATTTTGGCAACTCAAGTCGTAGTTTGAACGTACTGAGGAGCTGTCAGCAGGGAGGATCCCTACATGGGAGGCTGGGAGAAGCAAATAACACTAGGTATTTTGTATTTTCTTTACACGACATGTGTTCCTGTTCGCTGCGATTCCAGGTCACCTGGAGACTGAGCAGTAGTTTGAGGCGGCACGTTTTGAGAAATGTGGTTGTTGGAAGCGATTACCCTTGAAGAGCAGGTGCCCAAAGCCTGAACCAGTGGCCTCTATGAGGCTGTGGAACCCAGCTAAGGCCTGAGAGCAGTTTGCAGAGACCCGCTTCTCGTAGAAGTAGAACGTGAACTTGAGCCAAGTACAGGAAGAGGGGGCAGCAGGTCCAAGGTCTGGGCTGCAGGTGCTGTTCCAGATCCACCCCTTAGAAGGAAGTGTTACCTGGGGACCGCACAGGCAGACCCCCCCACCCCGCCCACCCACTGTGGGTGGGGCCTGAGAGCGCTGAGGGAGTGGCGGGCCGAGGTCAGCGAGATGCAAAAGGACGCTGTCCAGGCTGAGAGCCAGCAGCAGCCTCATCTGCAGGATTCACATATCTAAGGAAATAATAATAATAACAATAATCAGCAACAGGAAGATAATCTGGCAAGAGAAAAGCAGAGAGAAGCGTGGGACCCTTGGGCAGGGATCAGCCAGCAGTCTCCAGGGCAGAGGCTCTGGGAAACCGAGAGAGACCCTTCTGGGTGGGGGCGGGGGAAAGGTTTCGGGTGTGGGAGAGGGAGGTGACCTCAGGCCTGGCCATGTTCTAAAAGGAAACACCTTCAGGCCAGTCATCACTTCCCTGTGCTCTTATTACAAGCCCATGGAACAATAATGAGATACTTCCTTCGGGTTTACGGGAGTCTGGTGCAATAATGTGGGGTAGGGTCGGGAGGGTGTGCTAGGAGATAGGCGTGAGCACTGCGGTTACAGGAAAGGAACCCGGTCAAAGGGGACCCATTGGCATTCCGGTTTGTATATCAGTCACTTGTGAGTTTGGTTGGTATGAGTCAGTCTCCTGCAATGGGGTCCTCTCCAGAGGACTGACAAGATCAGCAAAGATAAACAGGCCAGGTGCTGGTGTGTCAGGCTGACCCACGGCCCCTGCCTGGCTAGGCCTCTGGCCTTCCCTTGGGCCAGCCTCAGTCACATTATGAAACCCAGCCCTCGACAGGGAAGAATGCTCTCCCTAACCAGCAGCCAGCTGAGCTCCCTGCTGAAGTCCTTGCAAGTGATAAAGTCATAAAAAGTATTTGTATAACCTTCCTGGCTCTAGCAGCCTGGAGTCACAGAATTACAGAGGGTCAGAAGAGGCAGCCCTGTATTCTCCGGATGAGGAAACTGAGGCCCAGTGAGGGGAAGAGACGTGCCCAAAGCCCCACAGATGGTGGGGGCAGAGCAGAAACTAGAACCCGGGCTTCCTGACACCAGGTCGGCAGCCGAGTGTCCGTCCAGGACTGCGATGTGAGTGTTCCAGACAGCTCCTCCTCAACTTGAGTTCACCGTCTATCTGGGCTTCGTGGAGAAGGTGTCCCTTCATCCCACAGCCATGTGGACACTGGAGGTGGCCAGGCCTGGAGCCAGTATCAGAGGAAGGTGGTGAGGGTATACTCAGCCCCCGACTACTGTTTTAGGAGAACATGTGTCCTCGTGGGCCCAAAGTCCCCAGCATGAGTGGGCAGCAATTTGCATCCTTTGTGAAGCCCAGCCCCTCTGCAGCCAGGTCGGGGGAGCAAGACGCGCCCAGGATCTGACCCCATCACCAAGCCTCCCCGGCAGGGAAGAGAAACCCAGGCTTCTCCGGCCTGGCTGACTCCCACGCTGGCCGGCCTCGTCAGCTACACTCTCCCTGGGAGAGTGTTTGTTTTAACCCTGTGTACATCATCTCAGCTTTCACCTTTCTGGCAGCTCCTGTTTGAGTGTTTTTGTGAGTGAAAGCCTCAGGGTTCTTCTTCTTTTTCTAAAACAAAATGACGAACTCCTGAAAACATCTTTTGGCAGCCAGGTTCCATTTCTTCAGGAAGTCATCCAGTATCAACCCACCATCCCAAATTTCGGACCCTCCCCTCTTCCTAAAACAGCTTCTTGAAACAGCACATTCTGCTGCTGCTGACCGTGGGCGTCCTGGCTTTCTGACCCCATCCCACAGGGCACACATGTTGCCTGGAGTCTGGTGTGGGGGCCAGGAGCCGAAGCAACAGCTCTGCGTCCCTGGGTTTCCATTGGGGCTCATTTCCGCTTCCCACGAGCATGTGTCCGGGAAGCAGTAGAACACCTAGCGGGTCTCGATGAAAGCTCAAATGAGCAGTGATTTGTCCCGCAATTGGCAGGCACCTGGTCATCAAACACCTGTGTGACTGGCATGATGCAGGATCTGGAGAGGCAGGGTTCCTGCCACCACGGGGCTTTCATTCAAGCAGGGAGGGGGTTGGCAGACATGAAGCGGGTGGGACGCTTTGGAGGCTAGCGGGGTCCGTGGGGACAGGGCAACGGAGGGAAACCTGGCTGCCACCTGAAGGGCCCAGGCATCGGGAGGGGGATCGCCAGGGGAGGGGCCCGCAGGAGCAGCGGTGTGGGTGGGAAGGGGGAGGCGGGAGGAAGTGGTGCGCCCTGGTCTCCCCAAGGGGACTCAGTTCTGTGACCCCTCTGCTCTTCGAGAGGCTCTGCTTCGCCCCGTGGTCACCAGTCTCTCCCATCTGTCTCCTATTTGGCAGGTCCACTCTGTCCAGGTGCTGCAACGCCCCCTCCTTCCTCTTCACCACCCAGAAGAACACCCCCCTGGGGACAAAGCTCAAGTATGAGGTGGACACCAGCGGCATCTACCACATCAACCAGGAGATCTTTCGCATGTTTCCCAAGGTGCTGCTTTGGGCAGGGCGGCCTGAGTGCGGGGAGGAGCCGGCCCAGCATGGCCCTCTGCAGCTGCGTCACGTGGTTTGGCGCGACTCTGCTGTGCCTGCTGCACCCATTGTCCTGGCCCTGGTCGGCCATTCTCTTGGGCTCAGTAGAATGTCACCTGGGAGTTTGGTCTGGCACAGTGAATGCCAGCTGGCTGTTAGTTGGGTGACTTTTGGCAAGAAAGGGGTTGTAAAAGTTTGGTTGTTGCCTTGCTCATAGAGGACATCCTGAAGATGTCTGGGAGAGTGATACACATTTGTCCTCCACCCGAGGGAGGCACAGAGCAAAAACATCCACGAAAATGACGTGTGTGCACCAGAAATCACCAGCCAATACAAAGCAAGGCACTGCAAGATTGCTCTGGTGTTGGAAGACCTTGGGTGCCCATCTGCAACACTGGGACTTAGATTAGGAATAGGTTTGGCTGCTTATAACAAAAAGTCTGAAATATCAGAGATTTAAAGAAGATAGGCATTTATTTTTTCCTTTCACATAAGAGAAATCGGGAGGGAGCTGCCCATGCAGGGCAGTGTGGAGGCCCTCTGGTCACGGGGACCACGCCATGAGCAGTGTGTGGGTGCGAACTGCTCAGACCCCTGAGGCTTGAGTATGTGTACTTGCTCTGGCCCGATCACTGCCTCCAACTCTCAGAGGAGGGGCATCAGAGGCTGCACTTTCAGCCGATTCTGACGGTTACCACCGAAGGAGGAGGAAGGTTCCATGGGACCCGCTCATTACCACCTCCTGGAGAGTGCCGGGCTCGGGGCGGGGCATCGAGAGTCCAATCCACAGAAATGCTGATTGGTGGTGTGCTCGGGTCTTCCTGGATGAGACCCGAGGGCCCGGGCCGCCCTGCTCCTCGTGGGGGCAGTAATGAAACAGAGCCCAGGGCCACTCTGCGTTCTGACACTCAGGCAGAGAGTCCTGGTAAGACGGGCCTTGCGGGGGTGCCAGGGGGAGCGGAAGGCGTCAGACATACCCTCCCACATCACCGTGCTGGAGGATGATGGGGTGTGAGCCGTCTGGACGAGGCGGGTCTTGCCAGGCCTGGAGCACGAGGTTGACCGCAGGTAGTGCCCGTGGGTGACACACAGGGGGGCCCAAGGAGGGCCATGGGTGCGGGCGGCTGAGGCCCAGGGAGCGAGGGAAGAGCTGACTCATGGGAAAGGGTCAGAGAGTAAATGTTTCAGGCCCTGCAGGCTGTGCGCCCCGTGGCACGATGCCCCTCCTTGATCGTCCTTGCGTGAGGCAGCCGCAGACATGAATGGGCGCGGCTGTGTGCCGGCGACACTGTGTTGCCCCTCGACACGGAACTTGTCCGTGTGCTTTTACATGTCACAGGACATTGTTCTTCAGATCTTTCCCAACGATCACAGAATACAAAATCCACCCTTAGCGTGCAGGCTGTGCAGCAGTAAGTGATGGGTCAGTTGTTCGCGGGGCCGTAATTTGAAATTCCCCGAACGAGAGCATGGGGCACAGAAGTATTTCCCAAACTTCCCTAAAGGGTGTGTCTCTTTGAGTCTGTAAAAAGTGAGCTTCTCGGTGTCCTACCCCCAGCCTGAAGGTTCTGATTCTGTCTTTCCGGGATGAGGCCCAGACGCCTGTATTTTCAGAAAGCCTCCCCAGGCAGTTTTGGACTTACAGTTTGGGAAACGGACAGAGGACATAAAGAGCCTTCGGGGTCTCTCCAAAGACGACTTTGTTTTTTCCGTCTCTCTGATAAAAATCAAGCAGTCTGGCTTCCCACACTGGTCATGAGACACCTTTGTTGCCCCACCTTGGCCCTCTGGGCCCGTCCCTGCAGGGAAGATGGACCACAAGGAGGGACAGCCTCCCGGAGAGGATGCCGCACCCCCTTTAGGTTCATCCTCTTTCCCGATGACCCTGGTGTGGTGTGATTTTCCTTGACACCCGCCTGGATGTCGGTCCCAGCAGAAGCCCAAGGTGCTGATGGGGCCGCGCTCCTGTGGGCCAGCTGGCCAGTGCGTGCTGGGAGGGCAGCTGTCCAGCAGCCTCCTGGTGTCAGAGGCGGTAGGGACCTTCGGGGCCATCCAGTAATGACAACCCGTCCCCTTGCGGAGCGGGCCGAGCCCTGCACTGGGCAGGCTTCACGTGGACACCAGTGGTTCTAACGGGAGAGGAGCAGTTTGGGGACATTTGGCGATGCCTGGAGACATTTTTGGTTGTTGTGACTGCAGGGTACTCCTGGCATCTGGCGGGGAGAGGCCAGGATGCCGCAGGGCACAGGGCAGCCCCAGCAGCGAGGAGTGTCAGCAGGACAAGCGGAGCGTGCTGATGCACATTATCTCATTCAGTTGCGTGGAACACATGTTACCCTCCCAGTCTCACACACTTTATAACATGGAGTCCCTGGCTGCTCAGAAACTTGTCTGTGTTTCTCTCACCTCATTATGGGGCCAAACCAAGATTGAACTTGGGGCTTATGACGAGGGTACCCAGTCCTGGCTTGCCCAGACTTTCCTGGTTTGGCCAAATGAAGTCCTGCATCCGAGCAAAGCCCACCAGTCCTGGGCAGCTGGATGTTTGGTCACCCTACCCTTGACTGCAGGTCAGTGCTCCTGTCCTGTGCCTGTCCAGTGACCCTGCCTCAGGTGGCCCCTGAGGGAATTATGGCCTTGAGTTGGGGCATGACAGGAGCAGGTCTCCTAAGTCTCAGGCTGGTATTTACTTTTTCCTGCCGATTTGCCTGCAGTCCCCTGGAAAGCATGTCCAGGGAGCCTATGTGGGTGGCCAGGACCCAGACCCAGGTAACCCGGCCAGCTGAGGTGTGACAAGGTCAGAGTGCTGTGAGATGCTCACTCCCAGTGCTCCTGTGAATGTCATTGTTACTCAGGGTGAGTCCTGGGCTTCCCCTGGGCTCAGAGCTCTTTCTTTGCAGAGACCTGGGGTGTCGCAGCATCTTACTGTTCCCCTGACATGGCCTTACTTGCTCACCCCTAGTCTTTTGACCCTGCTGCTGCCGATTCCTGACATCAGCCCCAGTCCATATGACCCTCCTGCCCCAGGCCTGTGTCCTCCTTGTGGAGCAGAGGGAGGGCCCGCCCCTTGCCCTGAGCTGAAAGGGACAGGGTTTAGGGTTCTGGTCCCAGGGCAGCCCTGCCCTCATTTCTGCAGCTGTCATCCCCAGAACATTTGCATCGTCATTCAGATATGTGCACTAGCTGCCATAAAGATGCTGAGCTTCCAAACATGGGGAAAACCAAAAGCAGCGGGGCTGGCCCTAAGCCATCCTCTCTCTACTCCAGGGACCTGGAGCACCCCAGGGCTCACTGCAAAGGGCTACGGAGATATGGCTTCTGGTCCATGCTTACTTGTAGTTGTCTGTGGGAGTGAGAACAAGACTTTCGACCCCTTTTCTCATCTGCAAAATGGAATAACCACTTCTCTCCAAGGTGCCCTACGAGGCTGATGCCCGGGGCCATGAGGAGTGACGGTGGGTGTGGGTGAGGAGGGGAGAGCACCCGCTGAAGGCTGTGGCCCTGTCTCCCCAGGACATGCCCTACAACCGGTCGCAGTTTAAGAAGTGTGCGGTGGTGGGCAACGGAGGCATCCTGAAGAACAGCCGCTGTGGGAGGGAGATTAACAGCGCGGACTTTGTCTTCCGGTAAAAGAACTGCTCTGCTCTGCACCTGCCGCTTCTGCACCCACAGCCCTCTGCCTGTGTGCACTTGCCCCGTGTGCCCCAGCCCCTCAGCGATGCCCTTTACATAGTTAATCCCCCACTCCCCACCCTTGCAGCCCCTCCTGCTCTGGGTTGTCCCTTCTCCTCTCCAGCGCTGTCCCTTTGGGCACATGGTCGAACCCCTCAGGTCCTCAGTCTCCACATCTGCAGAATGGGAGCAAGTGGCCATACAGAGCTGAAGACACTGAGGACTCACTGGGCCCCTGCAGATCTGCTGGCGAGGCCGTCTGGGCGGCCACTTCCTGGCTTGGCTCTGCTCTTCCAGAGGTGGTGCTCGGAACAGGGTAGCCTTACCGTGGACACCAGTTTGAACTTTGCCTTGGCTTTGCCTAAGCTAGAGACTGGCCCTTGTATTTCTTCTTCCCTTTGTAGAGCCCCCTCTTACCTCTGGGGATCCTCACTTACGTCTTTAGTCTGGATAAAGAAGATGGGTTGAAGATAAGAGCTTAAAGCAAAGAGACTTAAGCTGAGGCAACAGCGGGTTCTCATGGGTTGTAGATTCAGTTATTGGGCTGTTCAGGGCCGGGGGGGCGGGGCAAGGGGTGGGATTGGCCTCTCCATGGCCAGGGCACAAAGACTCCACCCTTCTGGCTGCCTCTGCATCCCTCTCTCAGGTGATCGTCATCCCTTCCCCTTGCCCTCCCCCCTCCCAGCTCCGTCTGGAATGACTGGCCACGTGTCATCGGCTGCGTCATCTCTCCTACAGGTGCAACCTGCCCCCCATCTCAGAGAAGTACACCGTGGATGTGGGGGTGAAGACGGACGTGGTCACTGTGAACCCCAGCATCATTACAGACAGGTCAGTGGCCCTCTTTCCAGACCTGTGCTGTCCAATATGGTTGTCACTAGTCAGCTGTGGCAACTGGGCACTGAAACGTGGCCAGACTAGACTCAGATGTGCCATCTGTGCATATGAAACACACACCCGATTTCCAAGACGTAATATGAAAAAGAGGATGGATCGTATGTCATGAAATTTTTACACTGAGCATATGTTGAAATGATAGCATTTTGAGTATATCCATTTAAATAAAATACATTATAAAAATTAATTGCACCCATTTTTCTACTTATATGGGCTTATGAGCACATTCAACGTCATGTACGTGGCCTGCATTATATTTCTTTTGGACAGTACTGGTCTAGGCTGTCTTCACCTAGTGCTGGGTCAGAGAGCTTCCAGCGCGTGACTGGGGAGGGCAGCTCCCTCTGCAGCACAGCCAGGCAACACCGGGGAGAAACCGCACGCAAACATCTCAGCCCCCCACCTGGCTCCCTCCTGGGACCTGGCTGTCTGGGGGGTCTCGGGGCAGTGGGTTAATGTGTTGAAACTCCAACGTGGGGGTAGTCACCCCATCCGGGTCAGATGAAGGGTAAGAGGAAGGGGAGTTGTTAAGTTGGGTCAATGGCCCGGGAACACGACAGTCAGCAGAGTGGAGTGTTAGACAGGTGCGAGATGAGCTGACCTCGCAGGCTGTCTAATGCAAAAAGTGTGGGGGGCTGGGGAAGGGGAGAAGGCTGAGAGGACGGCAGCTGGTCTGAGCATTAGGGAAGACAGCACAGGTGAACGCCCGGAGGCTCTAGGGAGAGCTCCCACCCCCTCACCGTTTCCCACTGAGCCGCCCCAGGCCGGCCTCAACCAGCAGAGAAGGTCAGCATTGCCCTCCCTTGCAGCCACACACTAGATATTTGCCCCTTTGGGTCCAGACTGTCTTCTTTTGCATTGACTTACAAAAATATAACTGTCCCCAAGGAAGGCTGGACATCCATCTGCTGAGGTGACTGAGATGAAAGGAGACAGGGATGGACTGTGAGTCCCCTGTGTCCTTTAAAAAGACCCCAGGGTGCAAGGGTGGGGAAGGAAGGGCGCTGGGCCTTGGGGGCGGGGAGTGGGTGGCCGACACTCTCCCTCTGCACCCCTCTCTTAGGTTCCACAAGCTGGAAAAGTGGCGGCGGCCCTTCTACCGCGTGCTGCAGGTGTACGAGAATGCGTCGGTGCTGCTGCCGGCCTTTTACAACACGCGCAACACCGACGTATCCATCCGCGTCAAGTACGTGCTGGACGACTTCCAGTCGCCGCAGGCCGTCTACTACTTCCACCCGCAGTACCTGGTCAACGTGTCGCGCTACTGGCTCAGCCTGGGCGTGCGCGCCAAGCGCATCAGCACGGGCCTCATCCTGGCCACCGCGGCGCTGGAGCTCTGCGAGGAGGTGCACCTGTTCGGCTTCTGGGCGTTCCCCATGAACCCTTCGGGCCTCTACATCACTCACCACTATTATGACAACGTCAAGCCCCGTCCAGGCTTTCACGCCATGCCCTCCGAGATCTTCAACTTCCTGCACCTGCACAGCCGAGGCATCCTCCGTGTGCACACGGGCACCTGCAGCTGCTGCTGAGGGAGCCCTGGCTGCCTGCCGAGCCCAGCCCCCAGAACCTGGCTCCTCCTCTCTCTCCTGTGCGGGGCAAGGCAGTGGGAAGGCTGGCTGAAAGGCTGTTACTCCCTCGGTAGTTCGGCTTCATGCTTGGGACCTGTGGGCTCGGAGGCAGGGATGGGGTACCGGGCAGAGTCGGCTCTGTGCTAGGCATCCTGGGCTCCAGTGTGGGCCCCGGGTATCTGCCTTGCCTCCTGTAGCATGCCGCTGGGGCCCACCTCACGGTCCGGGCCCTGGGGGCTGCCAGTGAATAAAGCACATTTCCACTCAATTTCAGCATCTAAGAAAGACAGCACAAACTGTAGCGGCCTTGTCACAGCTAAAGGAAGGCCCTACAGAGAATGGAAACCAGGGAGACTGGAGCCAGGACACGTGAGCAAGGGCAAGATTTAATGCAGACTTTTGGGTTCCTGAGTTTTATTTCAAGGGCTCAGCCCTGATTTGCTGTCTAGAATCTCAGAGCTTAGAGGCCAGCCCAGCCACCAGACCTTCCTGTGAAGATAGTGGCCCAGAGAAGTCCAGAGATTTATCAGCCAAGGTTCCACCATCTGAGTCCTTTAAGTGGCACCGTGAGAGCTAATTAATGTAAGGCCTTTGAGTCAGGGTCTTCGCAGAGATGCTGTCCGCTGAGGAGAGCCACGCCATTTCAAACACGTCCTCAGACACACAGTCTCGGTGCCTCCAGGTGCAAACCTGCGTTTGCTCTTTTGATGAGAAGGAAGTAAACCAAGCCCAGCCATTTGCACTAAGGTTTTCAGGCCAACGTTATCGACTCATAAGTGCTCAGTGATTTGCTTCCTCTTTTGCCTCCTTATTTTCAGCTCCGTTTTAACCAGAGTTATTTATAAGACCTGTTCCTATTTATGTTCCTGAGTACTGCAGAATCCTGCTATATCCCAATCCTGAACAGGAGCTGTCAGGCTCCAGGCCGAACCAAGTAACCCGTGAGCTTAGTGGCTGGAAGTGCGTCATGGCCTCTGACACCAGCATCGCTAAGGGGCCCGCTGCACAGGCGGGACTTCCCACATGGCCCAGCAACCTCCACACACTCGGGCCCCCGGGGCCTGCGCTTCGGGAATTTAGCTGTGTCAAGGCTGAAAGGGGTTAACATGCCATTTCACATCTGAAATCCATTCCCTTGGCTTCCCCCGTGATGTTCCCACCATTAATGCGGTTGTGCCTCATAGATGCCATTGGTACATTCACTGCCTTAGAACTTAGCTTTGTGCAATCATAGACTGTCAGTCCCGGGAGGGACTTCAGCTCCTTTCCTCTCTCCCTCCCCCTTCCTTTCTTCCCCCCACCCCCGTAATCATTTCCATAGCTTGTTCTGCTTTGATCTGGGGTTGGGCTCGTACATGATGACAGATATGGACACATCTTGTCTTATTGTACTTCACAGATGTTGTGTTTTTTAAAACAAGTTAAAGGCAAGACCCTCCCCCAGCAGAAAGATTCTGACTCACTTTATTGCCGTGGTCTGGAGCCAAACCGGAGGTATCTCCGAGATATGCCTTTGTAGGCGGTATCTCTGTCTTCTGGGGCTGGAGGGCAGGCCATAAGCAGATTCCAGCCCCACATGCCCGGTGCTCAGAGGAGGAACTGAAAGCACAGCAGGGAGCAGGACCTTTCTCCTGATTTCCTTGTTTTACGGGCAGAGCCATAGGCTCAGCCAGGAAGAGTGAGGGGAGCGAGGAGAATTAGGGTGCAGTCCTGGGTTGTTGCAAGCCACGTGCTCACTCTGTGCACAGCGCTGCTCTAGATGCTGGCCTTCCACCTTTGTTTTGAGCTCTGGTCCCGACTGGGAAAAACTTCAGGCCGCTCTGAGCCTCCGTCTGCTTTTCTGCACAGCAGGAAAAGAACCAAGGAGGCAAGGTAGGCCCAAATCCTTGGTAAACGGGGAAAAACTGCGGCAGGACCACATATGGCTGTGCTTTCTTAGGTTCTGCCTGTGTCCCTCAAGGAAGGAGCTTCTGGGAAAGATTCTGGTTAACTGAGGTTTCCAGCCACTTGCTCGTGGTTAACTGAGCCCAGTTCTCAAAACGATGGAATGGTAGAACTAGAAGGCTCTTAGAGACTATTTGTCGCACTTCAGGAAACAGGCCTAGAACAGGGAGGTGACCCGGGTCGGGTCATGCCAGGGCTCTACTGAGTACCCGCTGTGAACAGAAGCATGCCCAGTGTGTGGAAGCTGGGGTTCTGGAGAGTCACACATCGGGGATCTCACAGCCCAGTGTGTGGAAGCTGTGGTTCTGCCTAGCTAGGGCCCCTGTAGGTGCTGGGTTTCATGGCTCATGGTCCTGTTTCTGCACATAGGTCTCAGGGCAGGTCTCTTCCTCTCCCTCAGGGCCTCAGTTTGCACATCTACAACCAGAGACTTAGATCTCTGGGGTCTCTGTCATCTCTAACTCTTTTTTGAGGCATTCGTGATAATGGGTCTAAGCCATACACGTGGGTGGTTGTGACAGCGAAGATTCACCGTGCCGTCATTCTGCCTCAGGTTCAAGGCACTTGAGCACTTCCTTTGCATCATCTCCTGTAGTCGTCACAGGACCCCAGTAGGAGGAAGGCTCCCATCAGAAAGGCCAGGAGACTGAGGCTCAGGGCGATTCAGTGACTTGCCCATGGCCAGGCACTCAGTGGAGGAAACTGCACCCAGGTCTGCAGAACCCCAAAGTCTTGGCTCCAAACCTCTGGCTGAGCTGCATCCCAGCCGGTGTCAACTGGGCTGGAACAAAAGGGATCCGGATGGAGATGCCACTGCAGACTCTGGGCCCTGCCCTAGGGACAAGCGCTCTGGGAGGCTGTCATGAGTCGGGAAGACAGTCTCAGCCTGAGGGTGTCCCCCTCCTCTATCTCTCCCTGTGTTACTGGAGGGGAGCTGAGGCCATCTCCACATTTTGCAGGTGAGGGGAAATGCCCAGGAAGGGTACACATCACAAGACAACATGGCGAGTGACTTGCCTGAAGCCACACGGCCAGCTAGGGCCTCCGCTGGGACCCGCCCAGCCTCCTGACTTGCAGTCCACGCTCTTTCCCCCTCTTTCCCCCGGCTGCTAGTGTTTGTTGGGAAAACATTTCCCAAAGGCGAGAGAAACCCAGGCATTGACTCAGGAGCCCCCACTGAGGGTGTTCCTCTCCTCACCGGCCCTACACCCTGGGGTGCAGACTACCAATTACATTCTTATTTAGGGGAAATTGATGCTCCACAAACAAAAAGTCACATCTTCCTTTGTGCTAAACCCACAGCCCCAGGGTTGAAAGGCAGCAAAAAACAAGGAAATGACTTGGTGCTGAACCAAGCAAAAAGGAAGGTGGCTCAAGGTCAGACGCGGCCTCTGAGACTGGTCAGCAGTGCTGGCGCGGCACCTCTGCCCGCGGGTCTCCTGGGGCTGCAGAGAGGCTGTTGTCCTTGACTCTGATGAACATGGGGAGGAGGCAGGGGCAGTGCTTTTGTAACCAAGCAAACCGGGGCTTGGCCACCTGGCACCTTCACACATGACCCAATGATTAGTGTTGAGGGAACAGGTTTTAATTAACAGGGTTCCAACTTGGGGGTGCTGAGAGCACTCCTGCTCTGAGCCCTCTTCTCCAACAAGACCCAGCACTTCCCTTGCTCCCCAAAAGGCTACAAGCCAAAATCATGCCCAGAAGTTCCCCATGTCCTCATGTGTTCCTAAGCCAGCTGTGCAGACAGGTCTCCATCCCCTCTGGAACGCACACATGCGGGTTTCAGAGTCACCATCCTCTCACAGCAGCGGCTCTCTCCTTGAGGATCCGGGGTACGTTGTCCTCAGCCTCCATGCAGCAGTCCAGGAAAACCTGCGCCGTGTTACACTGGGTCATGGTGGAGTCCAGGCAGGCGCAGGTCCCTAGAGAGTGCCTTCTCCGTACGTCCTTCAGAGAAGCAGAGGTAGCTCAGCATTCCCAGTCCCAGTTCAGCTCCAAGCATCTCCCACAAACCTGTGCTTGGTCAGGCGGGTCCCTGCGCAGCTCCATCAGCTCTGCTGCTGTCTTCTCCTTCTCACTCCAGACCTCCAGGTGTGCTCTTACTCCAAACCGTGTGGCTTCCCCCTTGCACACCAGACTGCGTAGGGGACTCCCGTCCACACCCTTTCAGATGGCAGGGCTTCCTCTTTCTTTCTCAGCCCGCTCTTATTTAAGTGCTCCGCCCGGAACTTCCTATGTGACCTCATATATGAGGTACCATTTTTGCCAATCCCTCCCCACCCCTGCATCTTTCACCTTCTTTTGGCTGCCATCTGTAGTCAAGCAAGAGTTCCCAGCGACTTCCGGGGTGGGCGTCTGCCCCCTCCCTCTCACGCAGGCACTGTATGAGCTCCTGCAGCTCTGTGGTAAGTCCCTGAATGCTCTGAGTCACATGAACCTTTCACCCCTGGAGCGCAGCCCTTCAAGAAAGACACAGCTATTAGCTTGCCATTGTTGTGCAAAGTATCTTAAAGGCCCTGTCAGCCACTTCCCCCTTCCTCCAACCAAGGATTGTGGGGGTTTCTATTTTCAGGGGACCCTCGCTCTGCACCCCTTTATACTTTCTGACATTTGAGGGAGAGCACAGAACTGGCTTCAGCCAGGTGTTCAGCCAATGGTTACTGAGCTCTCATTTTGCACCAGGCATCGGGCCGGGTGCTGGGGGGCTGCAGTAGTGAGTGATGCGCAGCACGAAGCCCCTGTCCACTGGACAGAAGGTCCGGTGGGCATGCCCAGACTCTACACCGAGGGTCCTACAGCCTGAATCAGTCCCGAATTTTGAAGGTTGGCAGGAGAATGATGGTAATTGCCAAAGCAGCGGATACTTCTCAGGCCTCATCCTCGACACCCATGTGACATGTGACAGGGGTGGCCTCTGGAAGGTACCTCAGGGTTCTTCTCCCTTTTCAGGAACTTTCCTTCAGAAATCTCATGGAGTCGAAGCCTCAATCTCTTCTGTCCTTGCATCTTAGACCCCTTCCCTGCAGGCTGGCCCTCTCTCGGAACATTGGAACCATGCTCACTGTGGTCTTAAGAGTGTCTCTGCCTGCATGGCGTGTCAAACCTCAACATGTCCTCAGATCTGGGCTCCACCTCACCTGCCACTTACTAGCTGGCAACTTCGGAGGAGCTGTGGAAGCCCCTGGAAGCTCAGATGAGGGAGGCCAGGTCACCAGCTCCCCCAGCCGCAGCCAGGCTGGGAGAGACAGTGCTGCGAGACGGCTAGCCCAGCGCCCTGCACAAAGGAGACACCCAGTGAACGCAGCTTCCCTGTACCCACGC